CTTTATTATGGAATCTATCTGGAATAGAAAGAAGGCTAGAATAAGATATAAATATGGAATTTAAGATTACAGTTATGGGTTGTAAAGGTTTCATAGAGATGCAGACTGATTTGGACTTGGACTTTTAAGAGGTGTTATTAGGATAAGATTTAGAACTTAGTATTGAAATATAGTAAGAATATATTCTTTGGAATAATAGATCTTTCTTCCTTTCTCTTTTTTCCTCTTGATTTGTTTCTGTCTTTCTTTTTTACTATTTTTACTATTTTTTGTGTTTTTTATTATTAGGCATGATAATTAATTTGTGGAGTTATAATGAAAAAAAGATTGTAATAATAGAAGAGATGAAATTAATAAACGAAGAATTACTGAAGAGGAAACAGAATATGGTTAAGAATTGTAAGAATGTAATGATGGAAATAATATATTTAAATAAGAGAAGTTAGGGACATCCAAATGGTAAATAATATGTCTGCTTAACGCTAAGTTGGATATGGTATTAAATTAATAATAGCTGAAAACAGGACTTTGATTTATATAAGTAATGGGTTGCAGATAACCTTTACTGATTAATGGAATTTTTATTTAGGAACGTATTAATGAATGAATTTTATCTAGAAATGTATTAATTTGACTATATCATGTTAATTGATAGAGAGGGAAATTTTAAGGAGTATTATGTGAGCTGTATATTTATGATGTTATTGTATTCAATTGATTACCCTATCTTCATGTTGGCTCTTAAGCTTCTGGGTGCAAAAATAGAAAAAACTAATAAAATTGTTTTTAAAAAAACCACCCAGACCTTAATGCCCCATTTATTATTCAAGCAGATGCTAATGATGTGGCGATGAGAGCAATATTTTTGCATAGGAACAGCCAGGGTGCCCTGCAGCCATGCGTATACACCTCCAAGAAACTGAGTGACACTGAATGGCAGTGTGGGAAAAGGAAGTTTATGCAGTCCACTGCGCACTCTTAACATAAAGGCACTTCTTGGAAGGGAGCAAGGCCCCTTTCAAGGTGTTGACTGATCACTAGAACTTAAAAGGCCTAAAAACATCCCAGTGGCTATCACCCAAGCAAGTCCAGTGGGCTCAGTACTTTAATCAGTTTAACTTCACCTCTACTATCTCCCAGGGGGAAAGAACTTCCTAGCTGATGCACTGTCCAGGATGCTCTAATACAACAGTTCCAAGCAGGAAACAGTGAGACCAATTTTCCCATCTCACCAAGTTATGGCATTGGTCATCACCTGAGTGCAGACAAAAGAGAACCCCCAGGGGGTTGGCATAACAGACTCCCTAAAAGCAGCATTAGAGGGAGACAAGTGGTTCCAGGCTTACAAAAACGAATGCATGATACAAAGGGGCTTAGCCTTTTCACTTCAAATAAAGTCCCTTCCCTAAGGGATCAAACTGGGTCAGGTCTGACACATTGCTTCTTGTCTTGCTTTCTGGTATTTTGACAGCTTTTGTGACAGCTTCTTTGTGACAGCTTTTCAAATATTGGAGCTGTCAGAACCCATATTCTAAGGAGACCCCTTTCTTGCTTTAAATACAAACTCTGTTCTCTCTATACTTTGGGTTCTGCCATGCTCCTGGAGGGGAGGGGGGAAAGCACTGCAGGCTATTGCTTTATTTTCCTCTGTCACTACATTGTAACACTTTGCTGTTTCTGCATACTTCCTCTGTGAACTATCTCTCCCCTTGATGTCAGCTAGAGAAGGGGGAAGGAGAAAGGAATGTGCCTCTGGCAAATGGTTTATCTCTGCGTTCGGAAAGGAAGGTGTGAAAAGTTGACAAAACATCGCTGCAACCCTGAGACAGCCCGGCATTATCTACTCTTTCCCACAACAGACAACACCTGGGGATTGGCCCATTTGAACTGAGCAGATGAACTATGGGGTGGGGTTTTGCTTGAGACACTTTTAACCTATTGATCTGAGCGGGAAACCCTGTCTATTATGCCTGCTGTCAGCTTCTCCTAATAAAAGTTCCTTTTGGAAGAAACTGCTTCCACGAGTTCTGCTTTCTTAGGATGAGGTTTTGAAGTGGGCCCTGACAGGAACACTGCTATCATGTCAACCCCTAGTCCTTCTTTTCACCAACTAGATATACCCAATTCTTGCAACTGTTCTTCATATGTTTTAGCCTCTAGACCCCTAATCATCTTTGCTGCTCCTCTATGCACTGTTTCCAGAGTCTCAATATGTTTTTTATATTGTGGAGACCAAAACTGGATGCAGTATTCCAAATGTGGTCTTAGTACGGCCTCATAGTGGTACTAACACTTCATGTGATTCTATCCTTTTATTAATGCAGCCTAGGATTGCATTGAATTTTTTTGGCCACTGCAGCACACTTCTGGCTCATATTTAAGTGGTTATACACTAGGAGTCCAAGTTGCCTCTTGTAGTTACTGCCTTTGAGCCAAGTTTCATCTAATCAGTACCTGTGCATTTGGTTTTTCTTGCCCAAGTGTAAAACTTTTCTCACCATTGAATTTTATTTTGTTAGGTAGGTCCAGGGTTCAAGTCTTTTAGGATTCCTCTGGATCTTGAGCCTATCTTCTGGCATGTTGGCTATTCCTGCCAACTTAGTGTCATCTGCAAATTTGATGAGTTCACCTTTTATTTCATCATCAATATTTTATGAAGATATTGAACAGTACTGGGCCTAAGACATTTTTCTAACTTATATCAAGAAGTAAGTTGTAGTCTGTTTTGTCAAATGCCTTCCTGAAATTCAAGTATACTATTCCACAGCATTTCACTATTTCACTAATTTAGTCATTTTGTCCAAGAATGAGATAAGTTTTCTTTAGCATGATCTGTTTTTGACAAACCTATGTTGACTTCTCATTATAATTACTTGCTTCTAGGTGTTCACAGATCTGTTTCTTGTTTATCTTTTGCAGGATCTTACCAGGTATTGATGTCAGGCTGATTGGTTTGTAGTTTCCTGAATCTGGTTTTTCCCCTTTTTTGAAGATGGGAACTACATCAGCTCTTTTCCAGTCCTCTGGTAGTTCCCCGGTGCTCCAGGATGTTTGAAGGATATGGTTCAATGATTTTATGATCATATCTGCCAGCTCCCTTCAGAACACAGGGATGTAATCCGCCTGGTCCTGATGATTTGAACTTGCCTAGAGTGGACAAGTGTTCTTACTATTTTCTTGTTTATTTTAATTTGAATTCCTAATCTATCTTTTACAGTTCTGTTTTTGGTAGGCTGAGCTATTTTTTTCTTTTTGTGTGAAGATGGATGAAAATTAAGTAGCTCTGTTTTCTCCCTGCTACCTGTCACTTCCTTGCCATCTTCTTCCATTAATTCACTAACTGTTTCTTTGGCTTTTTTCTTGTATTTTATATGTTGAAAGAAACTTTTTTTAAAATTATTTTTGACATTTGTTGCAAGTCTTACTTCATTCTGAACATTAGCTTTTTTTGACTTCATCTTTGCAGATTCAGGCTATATGCTTAGTTAGTTTCCATTTTTTATATTTATCCTTTTGGTCTTTCAGTTTATCAGAGAGTTCTTTCTGTAACCATGCTAGTTTTTTCTTGGATTTCTTATTTTTCCTTTTCAGTGGTATTGAGCTGGACTGGACTCTTTTAATGGTATTTTTCAGAGTTTCCCAAGCTTCTTGAATTGTTTTCTCCTTTAAAATTTTCATCCATGGAGTCCTTTCCAAGCTGTCTCTAAGTTTTTTGTAATCAGCTGTTTTAAAGTCTGAGACACTGCTTGATTATGTTCTATTGCTTGTGTCTGCATTATGTTGAATTCTAATATGACACAGTCATTCTCCCCTAAAGTTCCTGCAATTTCAACCCCCTCTATCATCTGTTAGTAAGAATTAAGTCCAATATAGCTGTCCCTCTAGTTCCCTCCTCTACCTTTGGATGACAAAGTTGTCAGCTGGATTAGCCAGAAACCTGTTCAATCTCCCATATGTATACACAGAGTTTGTCTCCCAGTTGATATCTGGGTAGTTAAAGTCCCTCATTACTACAACTGTGCTGTGTTTCTTACATACATTTGTTAACTGATTAGCAAAAAGTTCACCTATGTCTTCTGCTTGGTTGGTTAGCCTGTAGTATACAGCTATGGCAATGTTATTCTTTGTTCCTGTTATATTAACCCACATGCATTCTAGGAAGATTTCATCCTTGGTTTTATGCATTTCTGTAGAGATGTAGAGATGAAGTGTAGTTTTATTTTGCCATTTCTCTGTAGTAATTGGTTGGAAATTCACTGTCATAATCTGAATAAACCCTATTAGGGTTTCAGAAAATATTAAATTTAATGTAAGTTAGCAAACTTTACATATTCATAATAACAAATCTTACTATTTTAGCTCTTTGTATAGTTATCTATCTTAGTTATCTATAGCATTCAGACTATTGATTGTAAAATTCATTGTAATTTTATAGGTCTTTCCCAAGTTTTCATTTTATGTTAATTTTTCATTTTTTATCAATATGATATTTTTACTTCTATTTTAGAGTGATTATTATATTACTAGTTTAATGCTGGTCTATGACCAAAATAAAATAAAAAAGTATATTTTAAGGAAAGTTTGATATATGTCTGATCCACATAATGCATTATACCTTTGTCAGGTCCCCAAGTCCTTACAGCCTTAATTAGTGTTTTGTATTTATTTATTTATTATATCTATACCTAGTGCAATGAGAATAACTCTGGATATATGTACTCACAGATACACACAACACACACACACAAACACATGTACGTGTACCCATACTATGCAGTAAAGCATCCATAGTACAATAAATCAAAAAGAAAACAATCTATTCAGAACATTACATAGAAGAAAACAAGTCAACAATTCCCTTATAAACAATTAATTTTGAGTATGTTGTGGAACCCAGCTAAAATTATGCATAACCTATTATTTACAGAAAACTATAAAATGTGTTTGTTTTGTTTATCAAATTTAAAAGGCTAGCCAATTCTATAAACCAGGCCCTATACATGAAAGGCTTTAGAGGTAATAACAAGCTCCTTGAGGTGCACTAGAAGCCAGATAGCAACCAATGTAGCTTATGGAGCACCTGTGCCACATAAGCATACTGAGGCATGACCATTACAGCCCATACTGCTGAATTCTGGGCCAGCTATATTTTTGAAATGGTCTTCAAAGGCTGTCTCATATAGAGTCCATTGTAATAATCTAAACATATAGGTCATGAATGATCATCTGCTGGGTCTCCTGATCCCCTTCTTCCCCTATCCAAAATGAGCAATCCATTTAACCTCTCTCTGGAGATTTGAGAACAGCTATAAAAGTCATGTGAAGGTGGTTTTCAGATTTAAGCATATTTTATTAAGTTCTACTAGGGAAATTCTGATCAGTCAGCTGAACAAAATTTAAAAAAAGGAGTGATTGCCTGGATCCTGCTATTTCATGTTACTTTCAAAAGAAGACAATACATTCTTCAATAGAACCAATAATGCATTGGTGTTAGCTTTTGGTAACTTGCATATTGTGAACTGTTAGAGAAATAATTTGTTTTAATTTTTAACAGTATATCATGTGCCAGAAAGGAGTATATACGTGACATCAGAATTCACAAGTGGAACCTGTGAAGCAAGCACAGTGGCCTCGTTTATAAAATATCTCTTAGAGAAATTAGAGAGCTTAATTTACAAGCTTAATTGTGAAATCAAGCAATGGAACACCCAGTGTCATACTGCTACAGACACATTGAAAAAAATAACACATAAATTTACCTTTCAGTTCATAGGTAAGGTGAAAACTTTGCTCACTACTTCTCTGTTTGTGTGTGTGTATGTGCTATACAATATTATATAATACCACAAATATGAAAATATTGCAGATATTATTTCTGATATCATTACAAGTGGTACTAATATAATAATAATATCACTTGTACTACAAATGTAATAATGAGTCTATTTCAGTATATATGTCCATTAAATAGGTGTCAAAAATAAATGAGCAACCATTCTCCAAATCAGCCTGGGCAGATCCAGCACTGGCAGGGGTCCAACCATACACACAAAATTCTGTCATATTTCCCAACAAAGTGATACCTATTTATCTACTCGCATAAGGCATGGTTTCAAACTGATTGGTGGACAAAAGCCAAGGCAATTGATGGAAATTTACTCTGTCACATGATGCTAGGACTTGAACCGCTGAATCAAAGACCATCTCCAGTATCTTTAAGTTATTAGTCACCAAACCTCTCTATGCAACTATGAAATCACTATATAGGTAGTCCTTGACTTAGCACCATTCATTCAGTGACTACTAGAAGTTATAATGGTAGTGAGCAAATGGTGATTATGACTATTCATCAAAATTCTGCTGTTCCAGCACCCCCACAATCATGTGATTGCAATCTTGACAACCACTTCACACTTACAACTGGTTGCAGTGCCCTGAGATCGCAAGATAGCCATTTGCAACTTTCTCTGCTGTCTTTCCCAGGAAGTCAATAGGGAAGCTGACAGGAAAAATCACAAGTCATTAGGTTAAATATCCTTCCCATCAGGAAACACTTTCTCAGTCCATTTGCACTTGGGCTACACCAACCACTCACACCTTCACCAATCCTAGCTGTGCCTCACTCATACCCCTGCACAATGTCCCCAACTTACACCACACCTCGCACATCTTCCCTTATCCATGCCATACTTCTCATGCATCCCTTCACACCCTTTGCACCTTTTTCAACCCATGCTGCATCTTTCATGCCCCCTTACATCCTTGGGGTACTTTTCCTGATCTGTGCCACAACTCATGTATCCTGATGCACCATTGCATACCTGACCTGTGCCTGCCTATTGTGCACTCTCATACATCGACCTGCATCATGCCTCTCACACACATCCTTGTACTTTCATGTATTCTCCCTGATCCTTCCTTGCAACCTCATAAATCCTTTTGTGGTAAGCTGGCAAGAAGTTGCCTTGCCTATCAGCTATGAGATTTGATTAACCAAAGCAACAGAGATTGCTGTCCCTAAGTGATGCTGTCACACCTTACAACCACATTACTTAGCGATGGAAATTTTAGTCCTAATTGCCATCATATGTCAAGGAATAACTATCTAAAAATAGATTGCTTTTCAGTTGACATATCTCCTTTGTTTATAGTTCAGGGAACATACCGTATTGTATATTGAGAGTGCAAAATTAAGAGGTTTAGCCACTACCAAAATTCTCTTTCTCTTTGTAACTCCCCATTTCTCTGTTCCTCATAGCCCCTATTGCATTGTGTTCCCCAATTGCCAACTGTGTTGGCTAGGAGGAGAACATTGACTAAATCCTGACTGTTATTTTTGTATGCAAGGAAGCATTTTTTTAAATCTTTTCTCTCAATAGACAGAGAACTAAGTCCTTAATAGATTCAAATCATGTGCTGATTTTTGTTGAAATGTTGTTAATCAAGAATTTAAATAAACAGTACCTGAGTAACTGACTTTTAAGTGTATCTTTTCATAGTTCACCCTTGCCACCTTATAATGGCCTGATATTGCAGATTAATTTTATCTGTGGTAATGTTACCGTATTCTGATACATGAAATTATCATATTAAGATATGATCTAAAAATCATCTGAAAAATATAATTAAAACATAAAATATTCTCTCTCTTTCACTTTTTGCAGTGTTTCCTCTTATACTAGATTCAGCAGATTTTTGTCAAAATTCTCATTGTCAACATTCCACAAGCAGCATCAGAAAGGTAATATAGAATTATTCTAAAATACTTAAAAACAATCATATTTGAAAATAGCATTCTTCAAGACATGAGTCTGTCCAAAGCAAAAAAAGATGATCATGTAAATTCACAACATCAATATATTTTTCTTAATATTAAGGTCTGCCACACCTATCAGTCTTTGCTATCTACAGATCTCATCAACTTTTAGTGTAATGTTGTTTACAAATTTGTGAATCAGTTCATATACTGGAGCATAATTTTCTAGAATGGTAGAAAATAGGCACAGGCCTCTCTCTCCCCCCCCCCCCCCGAAAACCTAATACATTCTGAGGATATTGCAACCAGTTCATGTCCAGAATGCAGTTTGCACATAGTTAATTTTTGTTTGAATGGAAACTACTATTTATGATATCAGCTAGCAGAAATGAGTATCTTGCATTATATTCTATATGTAATCCACCTTGGGAGCCAGTTGACAATCAAATATTAATGCAATCATCTTTTTAAATTGTAGGCATATGACAAAATCAAGCAGTTCTTTGAAGTCCTAAACACAGATCCCTTTCCTGGTGATCTTTTAAGTTATATTCCTGGTACTCTGTCTGGTGTTAAAGTAGATCATTGCAAACCAGGGTTTGGGAAAAACACAAGTACCATGAACAACAATACAATATGTCCAGGATGCTGTGGTAAGTTTCCAGGGTTTGGAGTAGAATTATACATAGAGAAATGGGGGAAGGAAAAAGATAACTTGCTAATGGTAAATTAACAACTAGCCCAGTGATTGCGAACCTTTTAGAGATCGAGTGCCCAAACTGCAACCCAAAACCCACTTATGTATCGTCAGGTGCCGGGTGGGCATGGCCCATTGGGTGGGTGTGGCCCATTGGGTGGGCGTGGCTGCAGTGGTAATGGCAGACTGGGTGGGACTAAAAAGTTCAATCAATCAATTCCAACTTTGCGAGATCTTTTTTTTTCCTGTGAGAAGTTGAAATTGATTGATTGAACCTTTTTTTTTTTTTGCACACGGCGGTGGAGGCCTAAAGTGAAAAGTTTTTATAAAACCCAGCTGAAGGCCTAGGACTGGGGTGATGACGTGCATGCCCACAGAGAGGGCTCTGTGTGCCACCTGTGGCACGCGTGCCATAGGTTTGCCACCACAGAACTAGCCAGTTTGTCTCCCATCTGCAGTTAATGTCTGGTAGTTGCATTTTGCATCTGGGACTTCAAATATACTATTTGTTTGAACAAAGGCTAGGAACAGAGCAAAGGATTTGGCAAGAAAATCTAGTTGCATAGTGCTGGTATAAATTACAAGAAGTGACAAGTTGTGTTACAGCATCTCAGTGTAATCTTTGGCCTTTGAAATTGCACCCCAATATCACATACAAGTTTGCATTTCAAAGGATTCCTCCTTATGTCCCCTTTCAAGTTTCATCATTTGGCTGTTTTGTTGTTGTTGTTTTGGAGATCCCTATGCCTGTTTTTTTTAAAAAAATATTTCTTTAATATATAAAAACAAAAACATATTGCATATAGAGAAAACCATTCTCATTAACTTAACAAAAGTTAACGATGTGTTTACAAATTAATAATTTTTATTAATCCTTTCATTAAAGCTAGTTCATAAGCAGAAAGCAAGCATATTTTGGTATATAATTCAAAATATATTCCCATCTTTGATTGATGTGCTACATTAACAGGTTATGAATACTAAACTAAAATTAGCAATATTGAGGCAAGCGCATATATGAATATATATCCCCTTACCTATTTTACATTTCCAATATAATGAGATTGATACAAGTAGTCCTTGACTAACAGCCAACTTAGTCACTGTCCAAAGTTACAACAGACCCCCAAAGCAATTTACAACCTGGTTTCAATGTTTTGATGTCACCTGCCACCCCAGTCTTGTGACTACAGTTTGGTTGCTCAACAGCCAATTCACATTTACAGCCATTTGCTGCATCCTGCACACAGGAATAAGATTTGAGGCAATTTTGCTGGAAAACAGTGCTTACTTCTAGTTTCTGGCAAAAACTGCCTCATAGCAAACCATGGGTTAGCTTAACAGCAGTGTTTATTTAACCAACATAGTGTTTGCTTTATGATTTTGGCATTTGCTTTATAACCCCAGCATTCACTTACCAACTACAGCAAAAAGTTTGTAAAATCAGGTCCAGTCATGTGATGACCTGCTTTATGATTGTCATGACTTACGGCCATAATTGCAGGGCTCAATGATGTTTATAACTGAAGGACTACCTGTCCTTAAATTTTCTTCAAAATTTCTAATAAATGAGAAAAAATACTTCATTGAATTAATCTGATCTAAAGTTAATAAGAAATACTGTATACTTAATATTACAAATCATTACGTGTTTATTTGCTAATACAGAGTATTCCAACTCTATGCCAGAATTCTTATAGATAAATAATATTGCACAATTATTAAATATTGTGCAATATCATTTGATATAAATAACACATTTTATATTATAGAAACCTATTTCCCAGAGTGGCTTTCTTATACTTTATTCATTCAAGAGGAGCAACACTGACACTGCATTCTTCTAGACAGAGAGCTCTGGTGTCATCCTGTATCTGTTGGAGCTACTTTCCCAGCTTAGGAATCATATCTGAGTGCTTCTCCCATTACTGGGACACTTTGGCTTTTACTTTCCACATCCTGTCCAGTTTTTCTTCAGTCCCTAATATTTCTCCAGTTTCTTATAATCCTTCCTGATGTTGCTTTCACTTGGCATTGCTACATCTGTCATCATTGCTGTCTTTTGGTCTTTGTCTTTAATATTGGTTGATTGGCCAGTACTGCCTGTCTATCTGAATCTGGAAATCCCACAGAATCTTATTTTCCACAACCTTCTGTGGGATCTCCCATCTAGACTTAGGAGGGTCTAGTCCATATTCTGTAGATATTCCAGTATACAATGTCAGCTACTTGGTTGCGTTGTTCAGTATATGCTATTCTTGCCTGCATCTTATACCCTCCCACTCTGTGTTGCACTGTCTCTGAGTCCTCTCTGCATAGACTGCACTTTAGATCCTATCTGGTGTGGCAGACCCCTGCTTCTGTGAATGTGGTGTTAGTGCCTGTTCTTGTGATGTATGATCAATACCTCAGTGCTGTCTTTCAAACCAGTCCTTTCCAGCCACTGATAAGATTCCCAATGTCTGCCACTTCGGCTACACGTCAATTACAGAATGGGATGTTTAGGCACCAACCCTTCGCTGTGCTCACTTCACCCCCAGCCACCCACAACAGCCAGTTTTCCTCCTCCCTTGGCCTTCCCCTGGCCATTCTCCATGGCCAATGAACCCCTGGCTCTCCACCCCCCACCCTTCATCTCTCATGTTTGACCCAGGTGTTTTGCTGCATAGGACAAGCAGCCCCCAGATAATCAGATGGCAGGCAGAAGCAATGGTACAGTGGGGGCAGTGTGTGATTGGTGGTTGGCACGATGATTGCTGGGGCTGTGGGATGGGCAGCATGCAATGCAATTTTTTTTAAGTGCTCCGGCTGCTCCAGAAGTTTTTTTAAAGAAGCTGTGTTAGGTGGCTCCAGAGCCATGGTTCTGACAGGTCATGCAGACAGGGACAAGGCATATATTGGGGCTGCACAGATCTGTCACCAGGACTAGAAAGGAAGGGAGGGGGAGTGGTAGCAGGAGTAGCAGTCCCTGGGGCCACTGGGGAGGCATCTGGCTGAGTTGTGAGCCAAGCCATCTGTGCAAAGCCTACTAGAGGCGCCCCAACTCCTTTCCTGGTCCCAACACACCCTCACCTGTCTGCCTCCCCAGTGGCCCTGGCAGCTGCTATTCTCACCACCACTCTCCCTTTCCTCCTCCCCTCTGGTCCTGGTGACCAATCCACATGGCCCCTAGCAGCAGGATGCTTTTGTGCTACAGCTTTGCTGTTTCTGACTCTTTTTATAACTTGGGGCCCATCCCCTCTGCATGACCTGTCAGAACCACAGCTCTGGAGCCACCCAATTGGTCTGAAACTTGTGGAACAGTCATGGCACTTAGAAAAAAACATGTATTGCACACTGCAACCCCACAGCCTCTGTGATCATCCTGCCCACTGCCAATCACATCTGCCCCTGCAGCACCATTGCTCCTGCTTGCTCCTGCTGGGGGCTATTTGTTCCATGCAGCAAAACACCTGGGTCAAATGGTGCCTGGGCAAATGAGCAGGGACAAAAAGTGGGAGGTGACGGGCCTGAGGGCCATTGGCCATGGAGAATGGCTGGGATAGGGCTAGTAGAGGAGGAAAGCTGGCTGTGAATAGGCTGAGGCAGGTGGCTGGGAGCAAAATGGGCACGGCCAAGGGTCAGTGCTTAAATGTCCTAGACCTGTTGATTATAGATCCCATGCAGAATCTTGTCTTGCCATGGAACTTCCTCTCTTGATTTTCTCCAACATCTGCTACTGCCTTAGACATTCTCTCAGCATCTAGTTTCATTCATGTCAGTAGTTTTGACACTCACCAGACTCCAACTGCTCTCTCTTTGACTGATGTACAGTCTCTAGGTGTTGGACTTGGGGTAGAAACCTCTGTGCATTATGAGGAGCTTCTGGGTCTTCACATCAGCAGCTTCCATGCATTCTTTGGCCAGTTGAAGTCACTGGAACTTTGGGCAAGAGTGACCAGGTCATACTGGAATTCAATATAATGCAAAGAGAAGCAATAGAATATAACCCAACCAATGACTTAAACCTTAAAACAACTGAGGTTTTTTTTAAAAAACTCAGAGATTGCCTAAGAAAAATCCCATGGATCAAAATCCTAAAGGGAAAAACAACTCAAAAAGGATGGCAACTGAAAAATATGATCATAAAAGCCCAGTCCAATACAATATCACTGAAAAAGAAAAACAAGAAATCCAAGAAGAAACCGGCATGGTTGCACAAATATCTTTCTGATAAACTGAAAGACAGAAAAGATAAATACAAAAAATGGAAAGAGGGACACATAACTAACACAGAATATCAGCAGATAGCCCAAATCTGCAAAGATAAACTCAGGAAAGCAAAGGCTCAGAATGAACAAAGAACAAAGAACAAAAATCAAAGATAATTTAAAAAGTTTCTTTCAACATATAAATAAGAAGAAAAAAGTCAAGGAAACAGTTGGTCCACTAAAGAGAGAAGATGGCAAGGAAGTAACAGGCAGTACAAAGAAAGCAGAGCTGCTTAACTCATTCTTTGCATCAGTCTTCATGCAAAAAGAAACTATCAAAAACATAATTGTAAAAGACAGACTTGAAATAAAAATTAAAATAAGCAAGAAAATGGTAAGAGAACACTTGTCTGATCTTGATGAATATAAATCCTTGGACCTGATGGATTACATCCCAGAATTTTGAAAGAGCTGCTACATGTTATCTCAGAACCATCGTACCATATCTTTAAAAAATCCTGGAGCACCGGAGAACTACCAAAAGATTGCAAAAGATAATGCAAAAAATATTCAAAAAACAGATCTGTGAACATCTAGAAACAAATAAAGTTATAACTAAAAGCCAGCATGAGTTTGCTAAAATAGATCATGCCAAACCAATCTTATTTCATTCTTTGACAAAGTGACTAAATTAGTAGGCCAACAAAATGCTGTAGACATAGTATCCTTAGACTTCAGCAAGGCATTCAAAAAAGTAGGCCACAACTACTTCTTGGTAAACTAGAAAAAACTAGATGCTGGGATAGACAGCATCACCACCAGATGGATTTGTAACTGGCTGACAAACCGTACGTAGTCCTTAATGATACTACATCTACATGGAGGGAAGTAAGCAGTGGGGTAACACAATACTTCACATGATTTTGATTCTATGCCTCTGTTTATACAACCAAGGATTGTATTAGCTTTTTTGGTTTTTGCTGCACCCTGTTGCCTAAGTGTAAAACCTTGCTTTTCTCCACATTAAATTAAATTTTTCCACATTAAAAGACATATAACATTGGTGCAAATTGACTGCAGGACCTGATAGCACACCACAGCAGTCTCCCAGAAGAGGAACCAGTCACATCGCAGAAGCAAACATCCAATAGTGGGTTAACAAAATGAACATCTGCACAGCACCTAGCCTGCACATGATCCACACTTACTGGCTAAAGAAACTAACACGAACACCTAGCAACACAGATGAACCAGCTGCTAGAAACTCTCACTCAGACTGGCTAACCTAAGTAAGGACAATGCTGATCATGAAAGGGAACAGTACCAGCCAATTACCAGCCAATAACCTCTCACAACATGGGCCATTACATGAGCACAGCTCAGAAGGGCATTAGGAAATACACCAGAGGCTCAAAGCACCCGTTGCTCATTCCACTTTTAAACTTCTATCATAGGTAGAGCAGTTGCCCCAAACATAAGGTTTAGACAGACCATATCTGAACACAGTCTGGATTGACTGTAGGAAAGCCTGTGACTCAGTGCCATACCCATGCATCTGCCTGGTGCTATGCAAAGTAAATAGGACACTAAGGATCTTCCTCAAGAACTCAAGGGACTAGAAGACAACACTAGAAGTCAACTCAGGACAGCTCACACAAGTAGCCATCAAATGCAGAATATACGAAGGTGATGCATTGTTCTTGCTGCTGTTCTGCATAGGTTTGTCTCAGCTTGTCTCAGCCAAAGTGTTGACATGGATAGAAGTTTAAGAATGGAATTACCATCAGTCACCTTCTTTACATGGATGACATCAAGTTGTATGGAAAGAACAAATGAGACATCAATTCACTGATCCATCTGATACAAGTGTATGTCTACAGTGAGGACATCAGGATGTCATTTGAACAAGAGAAATTACAGTTCTGCTTGGAAAGAAAGTCAGAATACAGCTGGAAGTGATGTTGGAGGTCTTCTAGTTCATGGGTCAGCAACCCGCGGCTCTGGAGCTGCATGCGGCTCTTTGAGTCTTCTCCTGTGGCTCCCAGCCTCCTCTGCCATTTGCAGAGAGAGAGAGACAAAGACAGAGAGAGAGGCACTTGCTCTTCCCTTCTCTCTCTCTCTCTCTCTCTCTCTCTCTCTCTCTCTCTCTCTCTCTCTCTCTCTCTGTGTGTGTGTGTGTGTGTGTGTAAAAAAGAGAGTGGCCTCACCCTGTCCTCTGATGAACTGACAAGCTTATTGGGTGAGGCTCCTGCCTTAACTGCGTCTCTGCAGGAAGCAGGAAGGGCAGGTGACAGCCAGCCCAATAAGAATCTGTGTCAGCTTGTTGGAGAACAGCTTGAAGCCAGCTTGCCAGGTGAGCAGAAGATCAGGGAGAGGGAGAGGGAGAGAAAGAGAGAGAGGAAAGAGACAGAGAGAAAGAGAGGGAGAGAAATAGAGAGAGAGGGAGAAAGAGAAAGAGCGAGAGGGGGGAGAGAGAGGGAGAGGAAAGAGAGAGAGAGGGAGAGAAAGAGAAAGAGAGAGGAAAGAGAAAGAAAGAGTGGGAGGGAGAGGAAAGAGAGAGAGAGAAAGAGAAAAAGAGAGAGGAGAGAGAGGGAAAGGAGAGAGAGGAAAAGAGAAAGAGAGAGAGAAAGAGAGGGGGGAGAAGAAAGAGAGAAAGAGAAAGAGAGAGAGAGGGAGAGGAAAGAGTGAGAGAGAGAGAGGGAGAGAGAGAGAACTCATGCACAGCAGCCTCTATTTCTTTTTAATTAAACTCTTCTATCAAGCTCTCCACCCCTTGCATGCGCACGCATATGCACGCACAAGTTTTGCGTCTCCCAGTGTTTTCTTTTCTCTGGGAAATGGGTCCAAGTGGCTCTTTGAGTTTTTAAGGTTGCAAACCTCTGTTCTAGTCTGATCTCCTGCTTTCAGACAGGTGGCTGTCTAGTCTCTTCTTAAAAACATCCAGTGTTGAAGCTCCTACAACTTCTGAAGGTAAGCTGTTCCACTGGTTAATTGTTCTGTTAGGAAGTTTCTCCTTAATTCCAGGTTGCTTCTCTCCTTGATTAGTTTCCATCCATTGTTTCTTGTCTTGCCTTTTGGTGCTTTGGAAAATAAGTTGACCCCCCTCTTCTTTGTGGTGGCCCCTCAAATACTGGAGCACTGCTGTCATGTCTCCGCTAGTCCTTCTTTTCCCTAGGCTAGCCATACCCAACCATTCTTCATGTTTTGTCTCCAGGCCCTTAATCATCTTAGTAGCTCTTCTTTGCACTTTTTCCCAGTCTCAACATCTTTTTTGTAATGTGTTGACCAAAATTGGATGCAATATTCCAGGGGTGGTCTTACTAAAGCGGGGGGTGGGGGTGGAGGAAGAGCAGCATTGTCTTCTAGGTCAGGTTTCAAAAAAAACAAAGCAGCTCCCTCTGCATTGCCCTTTTAACACTTAACCCTTCATTGTCTGTTCTCCATCTCACTGAAATGCTCCTGTTTCAGGAGGAAATATAGAAACTGCAGAGCACAAATTGGGGCTCATTATGCTGTTTTGAGTTAAAGAGGCCATGCAGAAAGGCAGAAGATCAGGGAAATGCTGTTTTGTTGAGGTCAGTTTGCAAACGGCTGCTCCACATGGCCCAGTAAGATCGGTCCACAATGCTGAATTCTGCAGATCTCCAGAAGAAAAGCAAGGGATAGTGAGGGGTAGAACAGGGGGACAAAGCAGGCCCAGTGCCTTTGGAAACCCAGCAAGCCAAGGATGGGGGGGAGAGAGATAGGTGGGTGCACTGTAGCATCTCTGCAAAGTTATGAAGCCATCTGATCATTCGTAAGTGCAAATGACCAGATGACTTTTCTAAAATTCTTATCTTTAAATCATAGCCGTACATGGCTTTTAGGAGGTCTATTGTAACTTTGAATGGTTGCTATATGATCTTTTATACCTCGAGGATTACCTGTAGTTTGATATCTTAGGGCAGTGATGGCAAACCTTTTAGAGATCGAGTGCCCAAAAACTGGCCCCGCCCCCACCCGCCCCCACCTCGCCTGCCCGCAGGGCCACTCACCACCTCAGGGCCCACCACAGATCACCCAGGCAGCCCAGCAGCGCCATGGCGGTCACACCCTCTGCCCACGCCCTGCAGCATCAACTGTGCGCGATGGGGCATGAAGGCAGAGTCTTGTCTACACTGCCTGGCTGCCATGTCCTTGGCTGCGCTGCTCCACGTGGGCCATGCTCAGGGGCGACTCTCCTCCAGGGGGACTGCTGGTGAGCAGGGTGGAGGCAAGGCTGGGACAACGGCAACGTGTGCCCACAGAGAGGGCTCCGAGTGCCACCTCTGGCACCTGTGCCATAGGTTCGCCACCACTGTCTTAGGGCATAAAATACTGTTTTCAACTTAGTTCTTTAGCAGAGTGATGGCATGGGGGGGAACTTCTTTGTGTATAGTTGTTTTGGCATGCAGTGCCCCACATTGTCATCCTGAGGGAAGAAGTTGAAACAGTTTATGTCCAGGATATGAAGGGTCTGTAGTTATTGTCACAGCCCTCTTTCTCACTCATGCAATATACAGGTCCTCAATGGAAGACTAGTATATAAATTGTTATATTGTATATAATTTGTTATATATCTTTTTTTTAATGGAATAGTGACATGTCCACCAGGTAGATTCAGTGCAAAATATGGAACAACCTGTATTTTGTGTCCTGCTGGATCCTATAATGGAAAATATGGCCAGGTGGCTTGTGAAAATTGTCCAAAAAACCAAAGCAGTGATAGAAAAGGTGCAGTCACAGAAAAAAAATGTCACAGTAAGTTACTGAATACAATGTGTATGGATTCAACTTTCTCTTATTGGTGAATTATATTCACAAATGGGCCAAAACAAGTTAGCTGGAGGTGTTAAAGCAATTGTGGAGCATATTGGAACTAACTGGTCCTCATAACAGATTTTTTAATCAAATACTTAATTCAGCTTTGATTTTCATATAAGGTGTTTTTCTTACTCTTTATGTATCAAATCTTTCAAGGCATTTGCTATATATTCCTTGAGGGAAATAAGCAGTCGAAAAGCATAAAATATAAGAAATGTTGGAAAATATTTGTACTTAGGCGGTAGATGTTGGTGGTGGTTTGTTCTCTGAGCTTGTTGTTTAGTTTTTGAATGTTTCATCATCAGCTGAGGTAACATCATCATCCTCACAGTGCAAACTGTTATCTTAATATTTGAGCAGCTTACAGCCATAAAATATGAATTGGAGTCATTGAAAAGAGATATAACTATTTTTCTTCAAAAGGAAGGACTCTCTACTCCCACAAATGCCTATGTAACAGACACAGTCAAATCTCCCACTTTGGGCATACGAAGAATGGCTGCAGGACTTGGGTTTGGCTGGTCTAAAGAAAAGAAGAAATAGGGGAGACATGAAAGCAGTATTCCAGTATTTGAGGGGCTGCTCACCAGAATATTTGAGAGGCTATTCACCAGAGCACCAGAGGGAAGGATGAGAAACAATGTTTGAAAACTGACCAAAGAGAGAAGCAACCTGGAATTAAGGAGAAACTTCCTGACAGTGAGGACAACCAGTGGAACAGCTTGCCTCCAGAAATCATGGGTGCTCCATCACTGGAGATTTTAAAGAAGAGACTAGACAATCACCTGTCTGAGATGGTATAAATTCTCCTGCTTGAGCAGGGGCTGGACTAGAAGACCTCCAAGGTTCTATTCTATTCTATTCTATTCTATTCTATTCTATTCTATTCTATTCTATTCTATTCTATTCTATTCTATTCTATTCTATTCTATTCTATTCTTCATTCTAATTCTAATTCTAATTCTAATTCTATTCTATAATATTGAAGAGTACTGGGCCTAAGATGGAACCTTGTGGTACCCCACTGCTTACTTCTCTCCATGTGGATGTACTGCCATTGAAGACTACTCGTTGAGTACGGTTTGCCAGCCAGCTAGAGATCCATCTGGTGGTGATGTTTTCTATTCCAGCTTTTTCTAGCTTACCAAGGAGTAGGTTGTGGTCTACTTTATAAAATGCCTTACTGAAGTCTAAGTATACTACGTCCACAATATTTTGCTAGTATATTAATTTAATCACTTTGTCGAAGAATGAAATAAGATTGATTTGGCATGATCTGTTTTTAACAAACACATGCTGGCTATTAGTTATAACTTTGTTTGCTTCTAGTTGTTCACAGATCTGTTTTTTTGTTATCTTTTCTAAGATCTTCCCAGGTATTGATGTTAAACTGATTGGTCTGTAGTTTCCTGGGTCCATTTGTTTCCCCTTTCTTGAAGAAGGGAACCACATCAGCCTTTTCCCAATCCTCAGGTACTTCCCCAGTGCTCCAGGATTTTTGAAAGCTGTGGTGCAATGGTTCTGAGATAACATCTGCTGCCTCCTTCAGAACTCTGGGATGTAATCTGTTGGGTCCTGGTGATTTATATTCATCAAGGTCGGATAAGTGTTCTCTTACCATTTTCTTGCTTCTTTTAATTTTTGTTTCTAATATGTCTTTTGCGGTGGGTTTTTTGGTATGTTGGGCTATAGTTTCTTTTTGTGTGAAGACTGATGCAAAGTATGAATTAAGCAGCTCTGCTTTCTCCCTGTTGCCTGTTATTTCCTTGCCATCTTCTCTCTTTTGTGGGCCTACAGTTTCCTAGACTTTTTTTCTTGTTAATATGTTGAAAGAATTTTTTTTTATTATCCTTGATTTCTGTTGCAACTCTTTGTTCGTTCTGAGCTTTTGCTTTCCTGACTTCATCTTTGCATGTTCTGGCTGTCTGCTGATAATTGGCCTTGGTTATGTGCCCCTCTTTCCATTTTTTGTATTTGTCCTTTTTGTCTTTCAGTTTGTCAGAGAATTCTTTGTGCAGCCATACTGTTTTCTTCTTGAAATTCTTGTTTTTCTTTCTCAGTGGTATTGTGCTGGACTGGGCTTTTATGATCACATTTTTCAGGGTTTCCCACGCTTCTTCGGTTGTTTTCCCCTTTAGGATTTTCATCCATGGGATCTTTCTTAGGTTCTCTCTGAGTTTGTTAAAGTCAGCTCTTTTGAAATTTAAGACTGTTTTCAGTGAACACCTAGAGGCAAACAAAGTCATTACTAAAAGCCAACATGGGTTTGTCAAAAACAGATCATGCCAGACAAATCTTATTGCATTCTTTGACCAAGTGACAAAATTAGTGGACCAGAGGAATACTTGGACTTCAGTGAGGCATTTGATAAAGTAGATCACAACCTACTACTTGATAAGATAGAAAAATGTGGGTTAGATAGCATCACCACCAGATGGATTCGTAGCTGGCTGACCAGCCATACTCAGCATGTGGACCTCAATGGTACTGCATATATATGGAGGGAAGTATGTAGTGGAATGTCCCAGGGCTCTGTTCTAGGCCCAGTGCTCTTCAACATCTTCATCAACGATTTGGACGAGGGGATAGATGGGGAACTCATCAAATTTGCAGACAACACCAAGCTGGCAGGAATAGCCAACACTCCAGAAGATAGGCTTAAGATACAGGAGGATCTGGACAGACTTGAACACTGGGCGCTATCTAAGAAAATGAAATTCAGTGGTGAAAAAAGTAAGGTTCTACATTTAGACAAGAAAAACCAAATGTACAGGTATAGTATAGAGGGCACCTTGCTCAATAGTAGTAACTGTGAGAGGGATTTCGGAGTCCTAGTGGACAATCACTTAAATATGAGCCAGCAGTGTGCTGCACCTGCCAAAAAAGCCAACACAGTGTTATGCTGCATTAACAGAGGGATAGAATCAAGATCACGTGAAGTATTAATACCACTTTACAATGCCTTGGTAAGGCTACACTTGGAATACTGCATCCAGTTTTGGTCACCACGATGTAAAAAAGATGTTGAGATTCTAGAAAGAGTACAGAGAAGAGCAACAAAGATGATTCAAGGACTGGAGGCTAAAACATATAAGGAACAGTTGCTGGAATTGGGTATGTCTACTCTAATTTAATGAAGAGAAGGACGAGGGGGACATGATAGCAGTGTTCCAATACCTCAGGGGCTGCCACAAAGAAGAGGGAGTCAAGCTATTCTCCAAAGCACCTGAAGGCAGAACAAGAAGCAACAGATGGAAACTAATCAAGGAGAGAAGCAACCTAGAACTAAGGAGAAACTT